AGGACAGACAGGAGCCAGTGTGGAGCTGCCGTGCCTGTGAAATTGTTGGACACAGTAAACCTCATGTGGAAGTCCCCAAGAGCTCAGTATTCTGCACACCACCACCTCGGTAGGTCTGCCAGCTTCATTTAATGGGCTGCAATTATTTTAGATGCTCAGCAAACAGATTGTTACTTATATAAGCAAATAATGCATTTGACCTACTTATTGTAGCTGTAAGTAGAAGATAAGCATTGCTGTGGATCTGAAAAATGAAGTGTCCCATATCTCTGGATAAATTATTCAAGTCTTTGCATATAGTAACTGCTAGTGTTCTGGTCTAGTTGCTTGTGAACCAAAACAACAATTAAATCAAGGAAACAAATACAGACTATTTTTCTAGATAAATGAAGGAGTTGAGTTAAACTTACTGTTTCATTAAGCATTTGCTCTTCCTCTAGCTTTATTTCCTTCTTTACCATTTCCCCCGTAAATAATTTTAGAGTTCACTATTTGGGTGCATCTCCTGGTTTTAGAAATGCCCCAGAGCCAGGAACTCTTTCAGAGATCAGTTTTGTTCAGTGTCTCTATGAGCACTGGGTCAGAAAGCCTGGGTACCATGCCTTCTCCAAGAAGTTCATGAAAGTTCAGCAAATGATTTCCCACATCATTGCCCTGAGCTACGGTAGCTGGTAATCGATAGCAGTGTTGATCCTGTGAAGCCAGGAGTTGCACTGACTGGAGTTTGCCTTTGTTTACATGAGCATTGCCAGATGATACCACTGAGACCTTCAGTGCCCTTTGGGCAGCAGGTAACATAGGAATAAGCAACTCAGCCCTCAAAGGCTTACTGGTATGATAGTGGTGCCCTCTGCGTACCAGGCTCATGTGACATAGGTGTCTAGGGCATGTGTTGATGGGACTTAGCTCTTTACACATACTCAGAAGCATCCCTTTCTGAACAGAAGGGAGATATTTTCTTTTTACAGGTCAACAGAAATGCTGTTGTGCTTGCAGTCATCCCATGGCAAAGCCTGTAGAAACTCATAGAAAATGCAGAGCCTCACCATCTTCTGTGTGATGTTCAGGGAATAGCTACAGGGAAACCTCAGAGAGGGAGAAGGGGCAGCTGAGTGTAGGGTGACAACTCTATGAGAACTGCACCACATCAAAAATGCTGAGCTGGGGGGTGGTGGGGTTAGGGTTAGGGTCACCCATTGCTCTCCATTTGAAACTCAGTCAGTCTGTGGGGAGCTGCAAAAGTAGAGCAATAGCAGTCAGTTTACAGTAAAACAGCAAACTGTCTTCCAAGATGACAGTTAAGATTCCATAAATGCTGCTATAAACTGGAAGGGCTTTACTCATGTTGCTGATCTGTGGCTCTTTCACTGTACTCTGTTGTGACCATGGGTAACTCTTCACTGCTCCAGCTCTGTACATGTTTCTGCAGTAAAGCCACCAAAAAACAAGCACATACACTTTGTAAATTAATTTCTCTGTCAACATGATTCAGTAATTCTGTTTGCACACTCTTCATTAATGATGCTTGTGGCAGATAAGTTCCCATGACAATTGCCTTTCTATATCTAGAATTCCTTCAGCATATATAGAGTTACAAAAATTTTTATTGCCACTGGTACACCATTTGCAAAATCTGATTTGCATATTGCAGACTTCAGGCTGTCTGAAACAGAATGAACCAGCACTTTGAAAGTACTCGTTGCATGTGTGGGCAGTGTGAGGATCCTTGAGGATCCTTCCCCAGTCATCCTCCCACTGCTCCTTCCTCAGAACCTCTCCCACTGGAACTGCCATAACTTTATACCCATGTAATGTCATAGATCCTGGACCATTGTGTCTGGGCATATTAGTTCAAGGATATTTTTCTGGATGAATACTCAGAGAGTAACCTAAAAGAAGTTATGTGAGATTTTCGTTTGCCTCCTTTTGCACTCAGCTCATCAGTTTTCCTGTAAAAGGAGGATGATTCAAATTGACTATTCTTTTCTTACTTATCCAAAGTCTTGCTTTTTCTGCCTTTCCAGAGCTGTGCTGACTGACGATAACTTTTAGCCTCAATGAATAGTACAGAACAGCTTGATTGCAAATAATTTGTAATTATTCCTCAAATACTCTTTTCTTTTTTTTCTTTGCCTATTCAATGTTATCTGGAAAAATCAGGGACATCAATTACTCATTCTTTAAAAGAACTAGGATGTGAAGTTCAAAATATGTGAGAGCACGAGGCTGGGCATTCAGACAGAGACTTAGTTACTTTGTAATTTTTTTAAAAGTTTTTGAAGACCTTTTCACTGTAGGAAAGACTAATAAGCGGGATTCAGTGTGCCAGGTGGATACACAGAGAAGTGGAGGTCTATGGAGGAGAAAACCTGCAAGCCAGTCTGTTCTGGAACATGGCCGTTTGCGGAGGGACTCTCTCCAGCATGCTGATAATCCAAAGGTTTTGATGTATCCTGGCATCTCTGGGTCTACCCTTGTCTCGATGCTGCAGAACAAAGGACTGGCAGCCCCTGCTGTACTGGGAGGAGGCAGTGGCAGCAAGGCAGTGCTGGCTTTTGGGAATCCCAGGCAGGTGTGGCAACCTTGGCATATAGAGCGGGTTAGGAGCTGGGGTGTTGGGGCTGAGAGTTCAGCTTTGTGACCCAGATACACAGCCCTAAACTGAATCTGGCAGTACAATGTCTTCAAGCACAGCACCTATCAGCTGCAGTAGTTGTGTTGTTGCAGTAATGCAGAACTGAATTTAACTGCAGGGCCCAATTCTGCTCTATGTTGTACTGATGTTTAATTCTGGAATATCACTCCCAAAGCCACTAGCTTTCCACCACTTTGAATTAGAGCAGAAATCAATCATTTTAAAAGGCAAAAGAAGTTGTAGCCAAAATAAAGGGACCTGAATACTTTTGAGGAAGTCTCCTTAATCATAGCCTTGAGACATACAAGTAGCACGTCAGTATTATTTTATGACATTGACTTTTAGTCCTTTCATTTTCAGTATAATTTTGTCTTCTTTAAATGCCCAAATAATTTCCAGTAAGAGCTAATAGATTCAGGAGCAGAGAAGAAATATGTACTGCATGAAATCATTGTGCTGAAACCACCTATTGCCTATTTGAATTAATCAGGTGGCTCTTTTTTTCCTTCCATGTGCTTCCCCTCTTTTAGAGGATCTTTTAGGAAAGGAAGAGGTAACCTGCAGGGAAAGGCCTTGTGTCCATGAGGACAGCGCTATTTTGAAAGCCAGGATTTTTTTCGTGACAGAGATACAGTCTCTGATGTTACTTCAATCTAGTGATGATGTTTCTATAATCACTTGTTAAGATGCATCTTTGTGTGTATATTTTCTGACTGTTCACAGTAGGTGAACGTTTGCCTTCAAATATTCCTTGGAGAAGAAAAGATGCATGTTCAACACTGCATGTCTCCAATAACTATTTAAATTTGCTTAGTTTTCTGCTGTTGCTTTCTAATGATAAGAAGCTCCGTGCAAGTTTCGATGTAACCAAATAAATTAAAATAAAAACTTTGTGTTAAAAAACCTTTGAACCTTAACTGGCAAAAGATAGATAGTGAAAGGCAGTATTAAGGGGTAAAATGACAGGCAAGGCCCTGTGGCCTGTGACAAAGAGATGAATTAAACTCAGGTCTCCTGAGTTCCTATCTTCTGCACAGTTCAGAGGACTGTGCCTTTTTAAATTCAGTTTCACTAAGAATATTCAAACTTCACCTACAGAGATAATGAAATCCAACCCAATATAAGCACTGGTGCACAAATGCACTTAAAATGATGTGCAACTTTGAACAAGCAGTTCATTTCATTAGAGCCAGTGGGGTTATTCAGTCTTGAACTTGCATACACATATATATACATATAGGCTCTGTACTACCCTAGAGCTGGATTTTCTCTGTTGAATTATGTGATGTGAATCAGAATCTGTGTATCTGTGATTCAGTATCCAGCACGTTCAGGGTTTAATTAAAGAAATTCTATTTCCTTTCACTCCTGGAGGCTCCTTCTGATAGAGGTATCCCTCAAAATACAATCAGATTAATTCCTTCCACATTTAAAGTCACATTTTTAAGAAATTTAAACATTTTTAGGACCCAATTCATTCCTTCATTTAGAAATAATGTGAATCCTATAGCCTCTTGTAAAAATTGAAAGGGAGGAATTTTCCTGTTACATCTGTTTATTCTGTTTTTTACAGTGAACAGCACAATTCATCAGATTGGTCTGTGAAATTTAAAAGCTGGAAAACACCCAAAGGACAATTACAAAATTAATTTTAATTTTTAGATGTTTTCACTCATTCCTTACACAGCGAGCAAACAATAAACAGCGGTATGACAACATATTTTCATATTTCAGTCTCTCCTTAAAGAGTAAAGGATAATACCAGAAGCACTTTGTATTTCCAAAATTAACTTTGAAAGGCAGATTATCTGGGCGTGTCTGAAAGCTACACGTAACCTTTGCGCTACATACATCTCATTTCAAAAATGTCATATTCTCGGTAGGGCTTCTGTGAGGCTATTTTAGGCATTGTGCTACTTGCTTCGAGACAAGAACCGAAGTTACCAGAGCCTACATCTCTTGTTTTGCTTGAGGTTTGTTAGAGCTGGATAATTAATTGCTTGGTAGTAGGACACTATTAAACATGGCGAGTTCCTGCCCAAGCAACATAAACTTTGTGAAGTTCACTGTTGTTTGCAAGGATTATTGTATCTCCAGTTTATCAGTCATGGTAATTTGGATGGTTCTGATGCAAACAAGGGTCTGCTAGCACAGCATTGTGGCAGCTCCTATGAGGGCAGAGGACCATGGAGCAGATGCTGAGTTTTGTTCCTCTGAGCGCCTCTCATCTCTCAAACTCCTCACAGGCCTGGTGGTCACTTGTGTTTGTGTGTGTCTGTGATAGAAGCACTTTGAGATGGATTTTTAAGGAAAGTTGCACCTGGCAGGGAAAGAAATAGTTCTCACTTTCATTTTTTCCATTTAGCTTTGGATCAGGACCCACGTCCGCTGATGTCTGAGTGGCAGAGTTTCAACACAGGTTAGTGGCAACAGTTTCACCAAGGACATAGTAATCCATGTTGAAAAGCACTTAATTACTCCATGTTTAGGGCAGACAACACAGCAGTATGTGTACCACCAATATGTCAGCATGGTTTGCTTTTCATAGGAGTTTATGTTCTCAGCAGGCACTGAATGCTTTTTCTGCCTGATAAATGTCAAGTACTTCAAGCAATCTTGCCTATTCCTCTCTGGAGATTGCCAAATAATCCCCTTTCATGGAGTATGGGATCTTGCCAGGGCTTCTGCATTCATGCACATCTATCTCTGGCAAATGTTGGTAATACAGAAACTGCACAAATACTCCCTGCTCCTTTCATTAGCTTTGCACAGCTCTGTTTAGCTGCAGGATTCCTGTTTTTTTCTCTATTGTTCCAGGCTGGAACGGTAGTTCATGATCCATGTTCCATGATAAGGTGTCCTGTAGAATTCAGCCCTTGCCATGGAGCTCTATTTCAGAGTAGAAACCTTTGCTAAATAAACTGAAATGTCTTGCATCATTAGCTTCTTAGAGCTAATTCAGTTTGCCTCCTGAATGTCCCCCTGCGTCCAAGGGGAGTTCATGGTAGATGACGAACAGTTCTCCTGTTCCCAGTCATGATTAAATGATTCCTTTGTTATTTATCCATTTACCTGTGTATTTTCTCTAGGAAGTCTTATACTTTGTGCAATATATGGGAGGTAGATACTTTTTTCCTTTTAAAGTTCATAAAATACTTAAAACATTTAGTTCAAAATTGTAATTTGAAAAGTCCAATTTGTCACAGAAGGAAAAAGATCTCAGTAACACACCACCTCCTGGAAATAGATGGTTTAATAAAATTAACTATGGCAGAGGAAAAATGCTTTAGAAACAAAATGGAAAGTAAATCACTTTGTCACATTTTACTCTGTCTCATACAGCAAGATTGGGTCATTTGACCTTTTTGTTAATAATGTCACCAAGATATTTTAGGCTAATGCTGCATATCATGCAACAACAGATGAGGCTCTGTGTGTCACTTGGTACTCAGTTTCAACCCATGCAAAAATACAAGACTAGATGGCAGAATGTCAATCATTTTTCCTTGACATTTCTCATTTCCTCATTTGTAATGTAATGTAATTTGTAATGTAATTTGTAATGTAATTTGTAATGTTGTATATGCAAACTACAGCACCTCAGGACAGGTTTAGACCGTGTGGCAGAACTTAATCAATTGGATAAAAAACTGTGAAAATGGAAGGAGGGAAGAGGAAAATATGCTTTTTCGAGCAATTTTTTTGAAAACACAGTACTTGTAACCACTTTTGGCTATTTTTCAATAAAAATATCAGCTAACACTATCCTTGAATGACCACTGACACAAGAGCATCCCAAGTTTTGATTATTTGTCGGTCCTTAACATCTCTGCAGATAAAGAGATGAAAGAGTGGGGATGTGGCTGTGAGGCAGAGCGTGTTCTCAGTGGGACACCCGTGGCACAGAAGATGTAGAAACCAGCACACGGAACAGGGGTTTGAGGACAGCAGAGGATCAGGAAACGTTTCTATCTCAGGTATTCATTAAGGAGCATGAAGCACAGGGAACAGAAGACTGGGAGAAGCCTCTGTGTACAATTTTCAGATGTAGCTAAAATAGAGTTCAGGTCATATGCAACACATTCACAAATGATCAGACAGTTTGTGCCAGCCATTTACTCTCTTTATTTTGATGACAGCAATCTGAATAAGATTGCTTTTGACAGGGTTGTAAATCAGATTAACAGAGGTGTGGAGAGAGGATTGAGATCAAGTTTATGTCAATAGAATATATACAAATATAATTTACAAATAACAGACTAAACAAAAAGGAAATAGTAATTTAGCTGCAAGCATGGCGAGAAAGATATGCTAGCATTGTCAAATACATCAGGAGTAGTATTTTCTGGAAAGCCCAAAAGATTCTGGTAGCCTACATCTCATTCCCAAAAGTCTAGCCTAATACATTCAAGAAAATTAATTTGGGTTAATTAAAAAGACAAATTTAAAATGCATTAGGATATATCCACACAGTGAAAAAAATTATCAAGCTACCAAACACTCTTATCTGTGGTAGCTTTTGCATGTCCCTAGCCTGCTGCAAAGTGGAACACATTAATTAGAATCATCATGAAAGCATAATATGATTTTTCGAGTGTTATTTTGTTTCTTTTAATTCTGGAAAGATTTCTTTTTCTTTTTGCTTTGTTGTACCTTAGTTGTATGTTAAGCTTAAACAAATGCTGCTGATGAAGAGTGGTCTCATTACTTCATATATGTACATGTGCATATATGTACATTCGCAGCTCCATATTCCTAAACAAAACTTGTTTATCATCTGCCTGTACTGCTGTGCCTTCTGGGAATTGAACAGAGGTTATTTAGCAGATCAAAGCAGAATTGTGACAAAGTGATAACACTGTGTTTGAGTCCTCCTCTGATACCGACCAAGTCACCTTAGTAAGGTGCTTTAATGCAGGTGTCTGCCAGCCCTGGGCCAGAGTCCTCGCAGGTACTGTCCTCAAAATACTGTCTTTGAGCTGGCAGAGCAGAGCCTCACTGCTGGCTTTCATAATATGTTTAAGGTTGTTTCTAAGAGAGTATTTTTGGCTCCATGAGTACTGCCTGCTTGGTTTAACATCAGACGTTTGCTGGCTGTTTGCTGGTGGTTCAGCAGAAGGTGTCTGGAAATGTCTGAGCACTGAGTTCACAGTGGCAGATTTGGAGCAGTGAATTGCAAGGAACAACAAAGTTTGGAAAGGTGGGAAAGCTGCCATTCAGAACTGGCCTGTAGTATAGGAGTTTTTTGGGGTTGGTTTGTTTGTTTTGTTTTTTAATTGGGAAACTTGCTAATGAGGTGTCAATCACTGTATAGGAATAGAAACAAAGTTTAATGTATGTGGTAACTTTTGTTTCTGAATAAGTTTGTTGAATCTGCTTTGGATAAAAACTAACTTCACCTAAACATTTAATGAGACATTTTATTAACCCTAACATTTAATGAGATGTTTTATTAGCTCTTTATGCAAAGTGAACAAAATGCAATTTCCATACATTTCTTTATTGTTTAGTTCATAAAGGATAATTTCTAGGAAACCCTTGACCTCTCATTTCAAATCAGTTTCATCACAATGTTTTGATTTATAGTTTCAAAGACAAGGTTCCTATAAATAACCTGTGTGGAAAGGATCTGAGTCTGAGATACTTTTTTCCTCCTTGACTTAGGTGAAATCTTGTAAATAATGGGATAGATTCCAGATAAATTAGGATTATCTCAACAGTAGATTTTACAGTTTGTGTATGAGTATTTCCTTTCTCAGTCACTGCTGAGAGAGTTGATGTGCTTTATGCAAGAAGTTACTATAATTAAAAAGGTCTTGCTTCATCACTGTGTCACTTCAGAGTTACATCACTGTCATGCCAGTATGAATGTCCAGGACCTTAATTGTTCTCTTGGAGCCAAAAGGAGTTAATTTTGAAACTTAGTGTTATGTCTTAAGCAACTCTTTGGATCTTTAAAATCCCACAGTGATATTTGAAAAGCATAATATTTAAAAATGGAAAGTCCCCTGTCCCAAAGAGTTTGGGAAAGAACAGATGTCTCGGAGGAAGGGAAGTGCTCACTAACTACTGGAGTGTCAGAGCATTCTGGGGGAACTCTAGGAGTGTTTTGAATATAGGGTTATTTTTACAATGTTCTACTGATGTAATACCAGAGAAAACCAACAACAAGCTGGTCCCAGGAAATTCATTCCAGAATTATGACACTGTAATGGAAATCTTATGGTTGACAAAGTGTGTTACATGCTTCTGATTAGTTTATATTTTGTTCTGTTTTCAGTGTCAGCCAAACCAAGACCTCACAGTGATGAATACACAAAGAAGATTCCACCTCCTAAGCCGAAACGAAATCCAAACACTCAGCTAAGCACATCTTTTGATGAAACATATATCAAAAAGCATGGCCCTATGAAGACAACACTCACTAGGGATGCCTCTTTATCGCAGGTCAGCAGTCCTGCTCCCGACACAGAGGAAGAAGAGCCTGTTTATATTGAAATGGTTGGGAATATTCTCAGAGACTTCAAAAAAGATGAGGATGACCAAAGCGAAGCCGTCTATGAGGAGATGAAATACCCTATATTTGATGATGTAGGCCAAGATTCAAAATGTCAATGTGAATATGACCATCACACTTGTTCTTCTCAGTGTGCTACTCCCACAGTGCCTGACCTAGATTTCACCAAGTCTTCAGTGCCATCTACTCCCAAGGGCTTGCTTTGTGATATACCCCCACCATTTCCAAATCTGCTTTCTCACAGACCTCCACTGCTGGTGTTCCCACCAGCACCAGTGCAGTGTTCCCCAAATTCTGACGAGTCTCCTCTAACTCCACTAGAGGTCACAAAGCTTCCCGTTTTAGAAAATGTGTCTTACATCAAACAACAAGCTGGAGCTTCTCCATCTTCACTGCCACCTCATACACCAGGCCATCAAAAACTGGAGAAAGATCAGACAGCATCTCATGGAACTAGCACCCCTGGGCACACCTCCTCACCTCCTCATCCTTCTACCTTATACAGAACACAGTCTCCACATGGTTATCCTAAAAGTCACTCTGCCTCACCTTCTCCTGTCAGTATGGGTAGGTCTCTCACCCCCTTAAGCCTCAAAAGACCTCCACCTTATGACTCTGTACATTCAGGAAGTCTCTCAAGAAGCTCCCCATCAGTGCCTCATTCTACAGCCAGAAACACATTGCAAGAAGGAGGAAAGATGGTAAATGCCTCTGTCAGTACCTACGGGTCATCCTGTCAGAGTGGTTCCCGTTCTCGGACACCCACCAGTCCTCTGGAGGAACTAACCAGCCTCTTCACCTCAGGACGAAGTCTCCTGAGGAAGTCCTCCAGTGGCAGAAGATCTAAGGAACCTGCAGAAAGTAAGTCCTTGATGTAATTTTTCCTCATTTTTCTTTTTACAATATATCTTTCATTAGATATGTTAAATATGTTATATATGTTATATATATTAGATACCTCAGAAGTCTGAATTCCTTATATATGTTTCTTGTAACAAAAAGAAAAAATAGTATTGTCAAAATCACTTTGGTCTTCATATTGTTATATTTTTAAGCTTTTTAAGTATGTATACTGCAGTACAGAAGTACAGTTCATGACTTGGTCTTGCAAAAGAAATCAATTTTCATTAATTTTCCACAAATGTAATGTTTCCATGTGAGTTGGGATCTTCTTACCATGGCACATCCTTCCTTTCTTGATGGATGCTAGGACACAGTCATTGTCCAAGCAGTCTGTAGCAAAATAAGCAAACAGTTCTTGTTTGGATTTTTTTTTGCCAAGATCCAGTGATCACCCTTAACTTGACCAGTGATCCCGGCAAGTATGATACCAACCAGAGGTACCAGCTTAACTTTGGTTAAGCCTTGGTCAAAGGCTGGAGTCGATGATCTTGGAGGTCTCTTCCAACCTAAATGATTCTGTGATTCTCTGTAAACCATTCCTCTCCTTCCCACTGCCTCCTTCTGTGCTGTGACACAGAGTATCTCTTTCAGCTGGGCTAGTGGGACTGGCTGGGAGGTTGTGCTGTGAATTGATCTGAAAACCAACATGATCTATAACACACGTAGCCTATAAACCCACACACAGAGAAAAGCACAGGAGGAAATTGTGCAGGAAAACCTTAAGCCAATATTGACTTGTCATATGCTGTATCATAAAATCACTGCCCCACATACATTCAGGTTTACAACATGTTCACTTCTGAGCTAGTGAAATGTGGAAACTCCTAATGATATCAACAGGAGTCCCACAGGTGCGTGAATGCAGAACCTGGCACCCGTATTTCTGTTGCAAAAACTTTCCTATTCAGTGGTGCCAAAGACAGTGTCCCACAGGGAAAGGTCACCCTAGCACCTCTTGTCAGAGTGCAAAGCTCAGGACGCTTTCTCTTCCAGCTTCAGTAAAATCAGTTTATGACTTTGAAATCTTGTCACCTACCTAAAGGAAAAGCTCTCTTAGGAGAACAACTGATCTCACATTTGTGTAGGTACTATATTACGCCTATTTGGAAGCTGTAACATATTAAATATGATATGATAAGCTACTCTAGTTTATACCTGATAAAGGAAGGTACTCTGGTTTCCAGGCTACTGCATCACTACTGAAGAGAAGTGAATTCCACACTGCCTTTCAAGTTGTGTTTCTGCCTCTCTCTTACATTACTCATTGCAATGTGGTCACATCACTTTGGGACACGCTCAGGGGGCTCAAAAGAACACCCCCTCTGGGTTTCCATGGCAGAGGTTGTTTACCTTGCATCTCTGCAGCTTAGTGAGTACATGCCAGTGTGTGAGTATCAGGGAGCTTGGTGGCAATGGGGTGGGTTGGCCTACAACACATTCCTCCTGACTCATGGAGTTTGCTGCCCCAGCCTCAGTAGTATTATTCTTATTTATCTCTGTGGACATCAGGAATAATGACTCTGAAATCAGAAGGTGGAGGTGAGAATGGACTTAGCAAGATACTGAAAATACTACTTGGCACAGCAGCTTGCTTAATTTGGCTTTAATATTTTCATGCCTGCAACCATTAATCCTGTTTTATGAATATCTCAGCTCCATGGGTTTCATTAATTGATTGCAGTAGTAAAAATTCAGTAATGCCAGATTTGTGTGCTGGATGGGAGCAAGTTTGTGTCTAAAAGATAAGATGATTCTTGTAATTGTGAGGGTTGTGATGTGACATTTTTAAATAATTTCAGCGAAGCGTTAGAGAAATTTTGGCAAAGGGCATATAATATTGAACATTATTAAACATACTTCTTATTCAGAAGTGAGCAGAAATCCCCTGTAAACCCCATGCTACACCAGATCTACCAAGTGAGCTTTATAAGAAGGTTTTATGCTCACCAATGTAAGCAGGTTTGGAAACTGTAGAAATTCCTGCAATGAAGAAGTCCTGGGACATTTCAGCATATCTGTGCTGCTGTCTCATATCTACCTCCAGAAAGATATTTTCTATATTTCATTTGACTGAAATTGAATGCAAACATTTCAAGAGACTTTTCACTAATAAATTTAGACTAAATCTTGCCCTGCAGATCTGTACCAAGAGCAGCTTTCTTGGCCTCTCAAGGAACATTCTGTTTGCTCCTTGGGAAGTAGAAATGTGTTCCCTATTGGTTACAAACTGTAAGACAACAGAGATATGAAATGGAAACTGTGTTCATTTACTTTAAGAAAAACACATTTGTGCTATAAATAGACACCAGTGTTGAAAAGACTCTGGAGTGCAGCTGTGTTGAGTAAATGAACAGACTGCTCACCTAATCCGATTGTAATTTGTCTGGTATTTACAGTATGACTTAATCCTGTGGGATTACTGCCCTGAGCAAGAACCAGGTTTGTCTTCAGATATTACAGAGGTAGAAGACACTCTAAGATTTATAGAAAAGACATATAGGTCTAACATTTTATGTCTTGAAATGATCCACCATAAAGAATCTAAATTGGGGGATTTGAACATAGAATTTGACCAGACTGTCACATTTACATGTCATGATTATACATAGTGATAGCAGGGGAGGCTGGACTACTCATACAATATGTTAATGAAACCTTGCTCTTGCAAATCACACTGGAAGCCTAAGGCATTCATACCGTTCTGGGTTAGGTTTTTAAAGCAGTGGGAGAGCAAATACATAGAGTAGGACTAACTGGGACCGCCATGGTTTTATAATTGTCATGTCAGTGTAATTTGCTCTCAGCATACAGAAATATTTCCAGAATCTAGAGGATAATAAACACACACACAAAAAAGAAGGTATATTACTATTATAAAGTCATGCCAGGAAATTAAGAATATTTGCCTCTAAAATATAAAATTATTCTGACCACATCTCAAGCAATTTTCTCATTGAATCCTCCAAAACTCAACCCTCTGTGACTCGTCTGAAGCTCCCACTACCATATGCTAGTATTAAAAAAAAGGCACAAAAATAAATTTTGTATTCAGCTGAGTGCATTTGGAAAATATTGCAGCAATTACAGAGATAATTCTCTCCACTTTATTGTTAGTACAACTGATTTTGTAGAAGTTTGGCATCTGAGTCCAAACTCCAAATGTATTTGCTGGCTTTTAATTTTGTAGCGTTTTTGAGTGTTTTTTTTTTTCAGGAGGTGGGACTGTACGAAGATTATTTCCAGTCAACAACTCTAATATACAAGCAAAGCTGTCCTTTTAGTTTTTCTGTATTATTTTATTCACTCTTCTGCCATTTTTCCCTTTTTATCCCCCTCCGTTTTATTTCTTTAGAGTTCTTTTGCGTTAGTGAGAAATTGGGATCAATCATTAATACTAAGGAATCTGTCACCTAAGGGCCACATTTTCTGAGGGTATGAGCTTCCACTGAAGCTCCAGACATGTTGCTGAACACACTCAGCATCCACTGGCTGCTGCTGCTGTGATGTGTGTATCTGGATTTTATAAGCAGCTCACTTACTGTGCTGCGTTCTAAAAATCCTCTTGTGTGCTCTTAGCATCTTAAATATGCATTACAGCACAATTATGAAAGTGTGGAGAAAAGAACAAAGAAAAGTAAATTGTAAGGCCAAATCAGAAGTTAAAAAAAATTTGGTGCAAGATGATAAAAAAGAAAGGCAGAAAGATGGAGAGAGCCCTACAGAAAACTGAAGAAAGGTGTAGGGCATGAAAAATGTGAAAGAGTGGAAAAGATAGATACTATTAATTGTCACTGACTGTTCCTTAACCCTTCTTGCCTTTGTGTGGGATAACATTGGTAGTGTGCCCTAACACTTGGCTGACCCCTGTGAAATATAACTTCAGTCCTCAAAGGTTAGAAGGAAACAATTTAAAGGGTACCAACACTGCCAGGTGTCCTTTTCTGATGTGGTTGGAAGATGTTTAGGTACGACCACTCAATCCAGCTGTGTTGAATGACACATTCCCTTTGTTGTTACTGTGAGCACTGAGTGCCTGTGTTACCTGTGTCCTTCAGTAAGAGGGGACTATGGAGGGAGAGGGAGGGAATGGTCTTGAGGTTTTCTGCAGCTGCATTTGCTGCTTCTGTCTTTTCTGCACCATAGAAACACGCTGTACTCCATGGTAGTACAGCACTGGAGTCATGTGCCTAAGGCTACCCACATCCTAAAGAGAAGCTGTTGTGCATCTGCACTGCAAAGGCTTTAAGGCTCTGTGTGGCTTCAAGGCTCTCTGTGTGAGATGCTCCTGTAAACCCTTGTTAGGACCAGCCTTTCTTTTTGTGTATCGGTTGTTTCCTTTTTTTAAGGCTTCGGTTTCCTCATAATTTCCTGGGAACTTCATGCCAGTTTTTAGCAAGTATTGCAAATATTCATCATAACTGCACAACAGAATAGGTACCTCAGCTGTGTGCCCTGACTGTGTCTGTGCTTGAGGTGTGAGATCAGGACACAGGACACACAGCAGCTGGTGGGGGTTTTTTTCCTAAGCTGCTCTGCAAGACTTTGGAGCTGCTTTGGCTTTTGTCTACAGAGTTTCACTCTTCAGCTTCTAGTCACATATAGGGAGGAAGTTTGTAAACGTGCTACTTTGCAAAAGCAGTTAAAGTGATTGAAAATTGGCATAATTATTAACATTTCCTGTTCTTGGCTGGTACACACTGAATTAGGAATCTAAACCTGTCAAGTAATGGGAGAAGGGGAGGGGTGCTGAAGTGGCTCACTTGCTACAAAGGAGCTCAGGTTGATTTCAAGAGGCTGAGACTTAGAGTGGGATATTCTACTTTTTTTTTTGTGGTTTGGTGTGGTTTAATGCTGCTGCTTTCCAGGAAGTGAGAAAGCCCATACCACAGAAGTTGTGGATGTCCCACCCCTGAAAATGTTCAAGGCCAGGTTGGATGGGGCCCTGAGCAACCTGATCT